CACGGCGATGAGTTCGTTTTCGATGCCATCGGCCAGGAACACTTCGTTTTTACGGCAGCATTTACATCTGTGCACCGATTATAGCATGCCTTCCGCTGGCATACTTCACAAAGTGATACTCGTTTATCTACTTCGGAAGCATGAAAAGCAGGTGACAAAATTGGGATTTGAATCCGTGACCTCTTAACTGTGAGCCAGGATATCAACTGTGGTGCCCTCAGACAGCAGTGACTGACTACCTGTGTCTAGATTGCTCGATATTGTTCTATGTTAGCTGATAGAAATCGCTTCGTATTGGTAACGTTTTTCAGAAATCTTTCGTTTATTGAAATTAAGCAATAAAACAATTGATTCGATGGAGTCAACGCCGGTCAACGCTTTCATGACGAAATTGCACGGTTAGCCAGTACGGTGTACTATTGTGCTGCTCAACTACAGTAGTTCATCCAAAGCAATCGATGGCATATTCCTTTTTGGCTTACCTTTCCGACCGGGCACGCCTCCTTCGCGTATTGAGATGCTTCACGATAGTGTTGTAACGAACATTCGCTGTTGGAAAGCAACTCCTTATTACCATATTTTTATTCTACCGCATACCTTGTTATTATATTACCTTATTTATTATAGCTTTATTACCGAACAGTTGCGGAGATTGAAATTCGCAAAGATTTGTAAAGCTACTTAATTATAATATTTGGAGCTTCGTCGTTTTTGTTCGTACGTAGAGAGTTGGACAGCACAAGTGGCCATTGCTTTTCTTGACTGCACTGACCTCAGCGGCATAAACGTGTTTCTCGCTTTGTTTCATTGAACACGGCGGATATTTATTTTATGTGATCAAGCGCATGTGCGTTCAAATGTTCTTTGTTTGCCGTTCGTCGACATCACAAAGTTGCCATTATGCTGTGGCTATTGGGTCTTTGGTCGGCATAGAAACGCAGACCGTGAAACAGAATAGAAAACTGTTCTTGTCACCACTTAAAATAAAAATGAGGTGCTTCTCCTTCCGCTTACTCTAAAATGGTTCAGTCAGACTAAGACGTGTGTCGCAATATCTCCTAAAGGCGTAAACATCAAATCTCGTCGATTCATGTATCCCTCAGGGGCTCTTTAGCGTAGCATATAAACTTTTATTACATTACTTCAATTCAAATACTGTTTGTGTAATAGAAATAAATTACAGTATTTCTTGATCGAAGATATTGACTCTCTGATGCCCATCTTTAACACTTGTTACCTGAATTATTTGAGAACGGATAGCAGTTGATTAGGTTCCTGAATCAATGACTTCAGTTAGAAAAGCAGCGTTTGTTTCCAACTAATTCTTCATCCTTTCTAAATCATCACCTGGCCACTCTACATGCAATCCTACCCGTTACTTTACCACTGTTTTAGAATACGCCGGTCTTGCTCTGAGGGCACGAAATGGTTATCTGGGGCATTGGTTTATGCAGATTCAACAATAGTATACAACTGAATAGAGCGATAACCTTAAAAGAAACATCTTGACGCTCATGCTCAGTGTCCTTAACCTCACACCGGAAATGTCCCAATCCCTACACTGGACGATGGATATGCGCGATCAAACTGCCACCACATTGAAACTTTAATTCACACTACGATAAACGATGTTGTCGGTAGTAAAACTTGACGACTGCTTCTACGTTGTTCTTTTAGTACACAACCCAATGGCAGTTCACAATGTAACACGAAAGGAAATAGTTTTACGTTACCAGTTCATGTTCCTCGAAGTATCATTCACACAATCGTGGCTTATAATGTTTACTGGCTACGTATAACAATAGAATGTAAGAATTAAGTAAGCTGCCATAGTATCTAAAGTGTGGCTTTTATTCATTTTCTGCTTCGCACATTCGTTTGTCATGTTTCGCTAATGCGGTGGCTTCTTTTAGGAGGCTTGGAAGGCACAGTGCCTCAGATTCCTTTAACCACTGCAGCAAGTTCGGTTGCAGTTTCAGCAACTACGTCGTTCACTACCGCTCCATCCACTGTTATTTCCCAAATGGTCACTGGCTATCGCAGCGTCTTTGCACAAAATGTCGTCACCCCGTCAATGGCGTCACCAGGGGTTTCGAATTTGTTCCAGTTCCCGGTTCCACAGCAGTTGTTGGACATTCTTGCGCAAAGAGCTAATCTTCCTCACCTGCAGATCACAAAGACGCCAACGTTTCCAGGCTCCGCGTTGGAAGACGTAGTTGTAGTTCTGGACGACGGCAAGGGCGACAAGAATCAGCAGCAACAAGCGTTCACCACTGGTTCTGTCACCTCGGACATTCAAGTGGGTTTACCGCGCGATTGTGCTGTAAATCCTGCTGCACCCCCAGCCAGCGCTTTGCATCAGACGCCCCTAGCTTATTCCCTTCATGGGGCTTCCTTCTCACTGAATCTAAGTCCGGTTCCCGCTGGGAGGTCTGCAGCCAGAAGTTGTCAGCGCGCTCCTCCCGCGACGGCTCCTACTTCCAGTGTCGTAGCTGCCAGTATCCATCCAACATACGTTGCCCGTTACAGCGCTAACATTCATGAGGTCATCTACAGCTCGTTTCCATCGGTAAGTTCCTGCGAGCCTTGGATTCGCTCTCAGTCACAGACTCAGTCGTCTTCGCCGCCTACTTCGCAGTTTGATACGCACGTTGCAGAAGCACAACGCCTTCGACCGTCAACGAACGGTGCCATACTGCCTGTAAGCCGCTATGTTTCAGTGGCAAACAACGTACTGGGTTCCACGGAGCAAGAAGGAAAGAATGAGCCTAGTCAGGTGCCAGTAATTGTGCCGAAGCAGGAATCAGTAGACCCTTCGTACTCACCACAGTACAAGGCCCACTGCTCTACTGCGGGTCAGACCGAATCCTCCTTTGAAGGTGATACACACATGAGTACTTCACGCACCGGGGAAGGCACACGTTCCCGACGGTACAACTCGGCCCGTCCCTGCAAATTGCCATTCCATGAGCGTCCTTACAAGTGCCCATTCAGCAGTTGTGACCGGCGATTTTCTCGCAGCGACGAACTGACCCGTCACATCCGAATTCACACAGGCCAAAAGCCGTTTCAATGTAGAATTTGTCTGCGTGCATTTTCCCGCAGTGACCACTTGACCACTCATATCCGCACCCACACAGGCGAGAAGCCTTTTGTGTGTGACTTATGTGGTCGACGGTTTGCTCGCAGTGACGAAAAGAAACGTCATACGAAAGTACATCTGAAGCAGAAAAGCCGTCGCTTCTCGGTTGCGGTTTCGGTCAGTGGTGGGGCGGCATGCAATGCACATTCGGCATCCAGTCGCACTCATGCAGTGCCAAAGACGTCGAAAATCAATTAGCTTGTCGGTAACTTTTACAAAGTCAGTCTGTACGATAAATGAAGCTAGTCTTTGGATACGACGATCGTAAGCGACATCTGATTCCGTGTACGACTAACTGATCCACGTATCCAGTGTGATTTTTGCCCTGCGATATGTAAAGTTTTACCCATGTACCAAATTTTGTTTAGGTTAATTTATGCGACATTGTTATGCTTTTAAAGTTATGATTTATGGTTCATACCTTGTATTGATTTTTAGTCAGCAGTGAGGGTAAGGGTAGTAGAACATGGATGATACTACGTGGATGTAATTATCGTCCGTTGTTACATGAGCACACCAGAACAGCATGGTGTTCCAACTGTACGCAGGTTGATAAGTTAATATTCATTTCTTGGCTGGTTGCTTCGAAGCACAGAGAAGTGAATTCTTAGCTCAGACACCGAATTTTCTTAGTTTCCTATTCAACGATGGGTGTAAAACAAAAGCAGTTACAAGATTTGTACAGCAGCAGCTTTTTTCGGGATTTATTTAAAGGCGTTGACAACGAAACCGAAACTTCTGATGATTGTTTAAAGTAGTTCGTCCGTATTCATCAGTTCGAGCTGCATTGTCCTGACCGCCTTTGCAATGCATTCGGAAACTTCACAATGAATAGAATAGTTTGTAATAGAAAGTTATAATGTTTGAAGGTCGGCTATTTGTTGGATTTAAATATCAAATTACAAAAGAATTCTAGGGACTGTCAAAAGGAGGATTCATCAAGATGCAAAGAAAAGGCTACATTCTTTTGACCTCTTTTTCTACGGTAAATTTTAAGTGATTGGTTTCAAGTGAATATAAGTACAGTACTTTTCGGATCATAAGGCGCACTAACTATTATCGCACTATCTAAGATGTTTTTTCATACATGAGGCGCACCGGATTATAAGGCGCATAAAGCGAAACAAAACAATCGGCTAGATCAGATTTTGTTCAACTCGTTAACAATAACTGTCAAATTGTTCACGTGTAACAATAACTGCAACAGTAACATTAGCAGTCAATATTGTATACTTGTAACATGTCAAATGCCACCAGTGCAGAAAAATACACCCAATTTTTCAATCATTCCTCTTATATAAATCCGTCAAATTGTTCATC